CCTCTGGGTTGGTCCCAGCATGGTGGGCCCAAGTTGGAGAAATTGCAATAAAAAAATACAATTTATTGACCAAAAAAAGTTCAAGTTAAATATTCATTATATTTCATTTGCCTTTATTTAATTAAGTCTCTTGATGGTGATCAAATTTAAACTTATTAAAAATGAAAGTGTATCCTATCGTATTACTGTATGTGAAGTGCTGTTCGCATAGATCTCGTGTGCCTCTTTACGGAGACTGAAGCACTGTGTATGATACAGGGCAGCACTGGTACATCAGTAACAGGGTCACTGTCTAGCTTGAGCATGGCTGCGGGGTCATGCCTGCTCAGGTGCTGAAGCTGACCTGTATTATTTGAATTGGGACACTGATAGCATCTAGATTTTATCCGGCATTACTGCTGCTTCCTGTACAGATGTGTGAGTCCGTCTCGTCACGTTCGCTGCTGAGAGTAACATTACCGCTCTTTCTGTAAAAACTGCTCTCATAAGCACCGCATACTGTAGTTTCAAATTCCCAATAGTCTCAGTGAGTACTTACTGGTGGAAAGGGGTTGAAATCCAATTTTTAACCCGTTTATCTGAAATCTTTTCTCCAGACCACTGTGTTTTTGTTTTTGAAAGACTGTTCTATGCAATTATTGTTGTTGCAAGTATTGTAATGCTTTTTTTTTTTTCTAGATACCCTGTACTTTATGTTTGGTATGATCATTCTTTTATTAAAACTTTAATATAATACGTGGAGCTCAGCATTTGGTATTGATTTATCCAAGTGAGTAACGGAAAACTCCTTAAGATTTCTACTAACGGCACGAACAGCGTTCCTTCATTCACACTGGAAATCCACAGAGAGAGGCTTTTCCATGCTGTGTTCATCATGTGTGTGGTTCAGGAGTGTGCATGTTGCTCAGATGCGGTAGTGAGAAACAGGATGGAATGAGTGACTAGAATAGATGACATTCTCTAAGAATGTACCTCCTCTGCAACTTTGTACACCTCCATAGAGATTCACACTTTCCATGCTCTTGTACTCCACTGTGACAGTGACAATGTGGTAGGTTTTGTTATGTCTAAGGTGTTGAGGGTGTTTGGTAGAATTTTATATTACTCATCATTTACAGTATTAAAAAAAGAACTTACACTAGACAGGTTACAGTTGAAAAAACCAAACAAACAAACAAAAAGAAAAACCGTAGTCACCAGACAGGTTAGAGTAAAATCACCCGGAACTGGAGAGCAATAGTCTTCAGGCTTGAACTCTAAAATCTAAATGGTCTTTGGATGGTCTGAACTGTATTTTATATTTAATGGTTTTCCTTAAGAATTACTGTATTTCAAACTGAAGTGGGGAACTTTGGATTTTTGAATTGTACACCGCATGTTTTGAGAGTCTGAAGGTTCATGCCCCATTTATCAAAATAACTACTGGCTGCATGGGGAGTAATTTAAATGATAAATGTGCAGCAGACTGGAAATTCTGCTTAAACCACCGGTCCTTTGCTTCCTCTCTTACCACTGAAATTGGTGGGTAGCCTGTACCTTAAGTGGTCCCATTTGGCGATGTGAGAAACTGCAGCTTCTCTTTGTGGTTTGTTTGTGTCCTAGAAATTGAAAACCATAGTGGTGCACACTAACCTAGAACATGATAAGCATCAGGGGTTTTACTGGTGATGAATCTTGGTGTTTTTACACCTGTTAAAGTAACCATCATTACATTAAGGAAATTCAGTTTTTAGGACTTATTCCCGAAGGTGTTTCCTTATGACCACTTAAAATGTTTTGAAAATATACCTCATGGTGGGATAATGTAGCTCATACACGTAGAACCTCGGCACCTTCATCTTTAAACCACTAAGCCTGTGGTTCATTAGTCTGGATGTTTCAGTGTAATGTGTGCGTGTCCTTTAAATGTAACTCGTTCCTGATGTGAGGTTGATGCAAGAAAAACTGAGAAGAGTATAAATGTTTCAGATTAAATATTAGTTTCATTTCACAATCTATTTACATCAATAAATACAACATTTTACTAATCAATACAAAAACAAAAATAACTAAAAAAAATATCTGGTGTAATAAATTATGTCTCTCAAATCCAAACTAATCCACGAAGATGTTTGAGCCAGCCAATTCAAAAGTGTTTTTGTAGATAAATCCACGAGATCCCATTCTTCAGCTTTTTTCTATTCATGTGTCCATGCATGAGTCTTATAGTTTGTATATCCCAAAGCTTGTTGCGCCTTCTTCATAGTCCACCAGTGAGAGGTCTTGTACCCAGAGACTCAGTTGGTTTCCTTTCTCCAGTAGGATCAGATCTCCCTGAGCGGCTGTGCACATGTGAGGATTCTTTGTGCTCTCCAGGTAGCAGTAGGCCTTCATTACATCCTCACTTTTATCTGCCTCGTTCTTCCTCAGCTTGACCTTGCTGGCTAGTGGGATCGTAGAATCGCCCTTGGAGAAGGTCACTCTGGAGTAGACGTAGTAAAAACCAGTCTCTGGAATAGTCAGCCAAATCTGTTCATAATAGTTGATGCCTCTAAGAACAGAGTGCATCGTGTCCCACTGAAGACAACCCGCTGGAGAGACAAAGAAGTTTAATTAAACACTCATTAATAGATTTTTGATAACTTGTCACTGCATTTTTTTATTTAAAAGAAAAAAATGGGTAATATTCTTACGTGTTTTCTTTCCTTCAGCTCGCTTAACTGCCATGCGTGCTAAGGCTTTATAGAAGGTGTCCTGTTTGTCCATTTCCTGCTTTTGAGATGAGGGCAATCCATCTTAGAAAAAGAGAGAACAAATTTTTAAAGAAATTAATGCCATTACATCTTTTTATTTTCTATTTAATATATAAAATGTATTGATTGAACTGAATATACCTCTATCTTCTGCTGAGAAATGTTTTTCCTGTAGGGAAGAAAAAAGTAGAACATCAGAAATGGGTAAAAGAACTTACTGAAGGGAGGTTTTCATAAGCACACCTCGCCAGCATTTCCTATCTTTTAAATGCAGTCAAATTAGCCAGGTAAAACTACACACAGCAAAAAAAAAAAAACGTGTGAACCAAAAGATCTAACCAATTCTGCATACTTAACTTCCCTGTTTTAAAATAAAGCTGAATTATTTTAGTATATAGTCATGTTAAAATGTAATAAGAAGAAAACAGAATTTTGAGTTTAACTGTTAATTTTGGTTTTGTTTAAGCTGTCAGTTTTATACAATGGGTCCAAAGTGAATGAGAAAAAAAATCATTTACCATATGTTCATGGTAGTACAGGTAGAAGAATCCTGCAACTGAAAGAAATAAATGCAGCGCCACTACGCCAACCAAGAACCGGACGAGAACCTTGTTGTGGCCCTGCGATGGAAGTGAAGCTGGGATGAGGACCGGCTGGGACCTGCTGCGTGGAGGCACCGGTGGTGGAGCCAGGCTGGTCTGGTAAGTGTTGATCATGATAGAGCGGAGCGGTGACAGCTGCAGAGGCCTGACGTCCGTGACATCCCATGCGCTTTTGAACTGCTCCTCTCTCAAGCATCTGAGTTTATGTCTGACTACTTCCTGGAAGGTCTCAGTACTTTGACATGCAGATGTCTTTGCAATGTCACTTGGTGAATACATGTGGTGTGCATGTTGGTTTAAAAAAAAAAAACCCTCACTGCATTTTCCTTTGTGTCAGCTATAGCATGTCTATAATGCTGCACATTGTAATGTGATTGTTATGTGAACTTGTGCACTTAGCTGGCACTACTTTCACTTTTTTGGCCCACAAAACCAAATCCCCATAAACTGTTTCAATTTTGTATATAAGCTGTTATAACATTAAAAGGTATTTTAAAGTACTTGTATATCACATGGCACACACACATAGTCACACAGAGACACAAAGATCTATATTAGGAGTTCAGTAGTGTTTTCACACCATTTATTTTCACATCTTTCTCGCAGACTATATCTGGAAATTATCTGGTCAGCCTAAATGTCAGAAGCAGACAAACGTAACACTATATCTAAGGCATTATGTATACTGAGCTATTCCTTCAAAAGACTAGTGCTATTGTTCACCGGAGTAAAGATTAAAGTTAACTGTGTAACCACAGGATCATCGTGGTTAATTTTGGTTAATTTTTAACCTCAACCTAACTTTAATTCATGTTGACGAACTGAATGCCCAGACCAAACTCTAACTTAGTTTAATCTGTTGAGAGTTTACTGGCTACAGTTCACACCATGGCGTGTCCATTTAGATATACAACACTGTTAACGACCGCAGGATAAGTGAAATGTGCTTAGTTGTGGTAGCGGATTTGTCTGGAATGAGACCAACCATTGACTCTTTTTTTTTTTTTTTTTTTTTTTTTTAGCCCACACATGTTGGTTAAGCTAAAGTGAAAACTGTTTAATGTGGGGTTCATACAGTTGCTTACAGAGTTCTGCATACAGCACAGTGCAGCGTGTCCCTGTGTAAGTCGCTATTAGACAGTGAATGTTTCATCTCCAAAACAAGTGGCTGGAAATATACAATAAAGAGTTTTTACACCAACTACAATAAGTGATCGTGATTAAAAGCCTAATATGAGTTAAAGCTACCCAGGGACTTTTATCATAGTTTTATACACACTAATTATTTTCCATTTTGGACTCATGTAAATGTGAATAATATCAGGGGGAGGTTAAATTTGCCAATGTGCGCAGTACAAGTGTTTCTTGATAAAAGCTGGATCTTTATTTCATAAAAAGACTGCAATTTAAAAAAAAACCTTAAAATAATAATAATAATAATAATAATATACAGTAATATACCATCTACAAAGTGTTACAATTATTTTTATGCAGCTGTCTAAACAAGAAATGTGTTCAATGTTTTAGAAATCCTTTACAACGGCCCACTGCCTCCTCTAGTGGTTCAAAAAATATTTTTAACTTTAAAATGATGTCAGTACAGAGTTTGACACACAAAAAACACGTGAAAAGGTCCGGAGGAAAAACTGAAGAAAATTGGAATATGATTTTATTTTGTGTAAAATTTTAAAGACATTCATTCACTCATGCACTCATATACACTGCTAGGACCAGGTTAGACCTCCTTTTACTATCGAAGTGCTTCAGTTATTTGAGGCGCAGCCTGCTCAGCTGGTGGTAAGGGTCCCGAATTATGCCAAGAAAATATCTCCCACATCACTATTTCACCAGCACAGGATTGATCCATGTGTTTGCTGTTTTTGCTAAATTATGACTCCGTCAACTGAATGTCGCAGCAGAAATCGAGACTCATCAGACCAGATGACAAGATTTTTCCAATCTTCTGTTGTACAGTTCTGTAGCCTTAGTTTCCTCTTCTTAGATGACAGCAGTGGCACCTTGTGTGATCTTCTACTGCTGAAGTCAATCTGCTGTAAGGTCCAATGTGCTGTGCATTTACAGATGCTCTTCTACTTTCTTTTGTTGTAATGATGGTTACTGGTACCTTCCTATCACCTTAAAGCAGTCTGACCATTCTCCTCTGACTTCTAATATCAACAAGGTATTTTAATACTCTGAGTCAGTCATTTGAAAACAACAACTTTTTTATGGAGTGTAGTGAACATAAACTACATGTCGGCTGCAGAGCACAGTGTTTCTGGGGCCGCTGGGGATCTGGACTTGTGGGGAGCTGAGGGAAGCTTTCCTATGGACATGGAAATATTCTGACAACTGTGTCTTCGGAGTTCGGTGCTCTTCTCCTTGTACAATCTCAGGTTCTCCTTTGCACTTCATGAAGGCCAAAACACATCTATAAAACTGTGCAAAAGTATAGTGGAGAATGGAATAGAATGGTCAGTCGCAATAAGTAGTGATTTGCAGATCAAAGGACATGTCGAGCGCTCAGTTTAACACTGGTAAATCTCCCTGGAAAGTTCAGTTCATTATATTTAGGATACATTTAACCACGGTTTACATTTAACCCTTGAAAACTAAACCCTAAAATGAAGTATTGTGTAAGTTCGTGCAACATCGTCATATAATCAGTTTGACAACGAATTGACCTACTTTACAATAAATGACACCCCTGTATTATCTATGTTATCTATTATGGGATAATCAGAATCATGGCATTGAAATAAAAAAGTAGTAACGAAAATGCTTTTCAATTAATGGTTCTGAATTTAATATCTTAAAATTATTCTGTTCAGGAGTCTCATTAGAAACACTGAAAACATATATCATCTTGGGTGCTGCAGAAACTGAGCTGCAGTTAAAACTATTGTGTTCAACTCTGTCAGTGACACAATGCCACTCCATTTTTATAACAAACTGGTCTAGACAAGATACTTTTAGTATATTGTATGCAGTGATATTTGAAATACAGACATTTATCAGCAGTCCTATCAGTCTATCAGTTATGTCCTCACTCTCACCTGTTTGTTGAAGAAAACATAGATAACAGGGTTGACAACAGTGCTGAACTTGGCCAGGATGGAAGGAATCACACTAGTGATGGGAGTCACCAGCTCCGACCCACCAAAGGTGGCCATCAGTGCCACGATGCCATAGGGCATCCAGCACAGCATGTAGCAGGACACCATAGAGAAAACCATCAGCGAAATGTGGCGTTCTCTGCGCTGAGCTGCCAGAAGATTGATCTTTCCCACCTGGAGATGTGAGAGAGAAGGAGAATAAGAGGTATAGATGTAAAGACACCAGAAAATTCATGTGTTTTGCTTGTGTCTCTAAGAATCTTAGGCTTTTTCAGGTCCACTAATAGGCTTTTCGTGCCTCTTGCATATGCTCTTTTATTTCAGTCCCAACACATTTTATTTTGTGTGAATAATTTGCTTACATCTATCAACTGATTACTAAAATCCACACTTTGCGCTGCAGTATGTAGCATTTAAAAATCTGTGTATTTGGTGCCCTCATGTGGTATTATGAAGAGTTGACAGTACACAGGTGATTTCCTACTCAAGTGAAGAATAAATCTTCACTGAAAGTGTTTTTTTAAAATCCAAATATACGGTATAATATAAACATTAATAACAAGTCAACAAGAACCGTTACTTGAACCAGCTCCACTTCTTAAAAACAGCGAAGTGAAGTTTAAAGCGCACAGTTAGTGAGCTGTAAGTGATGGTTGTGTTGCTCACAAAAATTAAAATATCAATTTTAAAGGATATTTCAGAAAAGGAAAAGGAATACACTCAGAAAATAGTATGCATATGAAAAGATATCAAGGATACTTTGTTCCTAGTATATTAGTCAGACTTCAAGAGGATCAGTGAGGATCCCATGATCCCCATAATATCATAATATAATATTAATTATATGTGTTTGATTTGTTCAAAAATAGTATCAATTTAACCCTTAGCTATAGTTTAAGCCCAACAGATAGTTTTGGGAGATATTATAAATGTATAAATTTATAATTTCTATGATTTTTAAACTTTTTAATATATTTTTTTATGAGATGCTTTGACCACATTATGCGTGTTAACGTTGCATGGTTTGTCCACCTCAGGGCGCTCTGTAACTTCCTTGTTGGCACGTGTGCGTAAAATGCCACAAACACTATAGTGGACAAAGCATAAATGAGCAAATAAATACATACATACAGCAAATGTTAGAGGAACCTGTTTGTGTTGTGTATGTCTGAAAGAGAAAAAAAAGACTGAAATTTTGGAATACCAAATTGTTACATGTCCAAATATCAGTATAGGTATTAGTCTTAAAAATCCTAAATCAATCAGATTCTAGGTATAATGACAACCTGTTATGAATGACTGCTGGATCAGCAGAATATGTCCGATGTGTGATAATCAGAAGGGGCTAAAAACAGATGGCATGTTTTTAGATCTTGGTCAGAAGCAGTATGACCACATTACATGCCCAGATACGTTTCATCACATTTGTTTTTGTTTTGTTTTGTTTTTCAGATAAATCATAAAGCAAGTGGTTACAGCAGCATCTCACCGGTCAGTATTGATTTCATGTGCCCACCTCTGTATGTAATTACCACCGTGATGCTTGTCATGGTGATTTATGAATAAATGAGCATGTCTGGCTTGTGAAAGAGGCCTCACAGAGAAGAAAATCTACCCCTTCTGTCAAATTACTGCTTATCTCTCATACACTCAATTACACCTCTTGCTATATAGGATTAGATCATGGCCCTCACTGCTCTGTCTGAACAAACCTCCCTCATGTAATAACTGTGGTCACTTCTGCATGACTGACCTTCTATTCTCCGTTCTCTCTCCTAAATCGAGCTACCCGCTGATTATGATGGTGAAATGGTTTTCCCTACTGCCTGCCACAGTGTGATTTGTCTTTGTATCTCTATGCGCTTCTCTTTTATCTTCTCCTTTCCCTTACCTCTCATGCAGTGGCAATAGATGATCATCTCACCCTGAGTTCTTCTTTGTCACTTTTGCTTGCTCATACTCAGAAGATTGTCGTTGTTTTTTCCTCTAATGCCGACACTATGACTCTGTTTACCTTGATATATAAGGAAACTATTGTTATGAACTTGGTCTCTGTATATAAAAAAATGAATTGAATTCCATTCCTTTGGGACTGAACTACAACATAAAATATGTTTATGCAACATGACTGCTCGCTCTTTAAATGGGATGCTGTTAGTTAAGAATATAGAAAAGACACAGGTTTGACCCACACTGACAGAGCTGATGCATATGGCGCTTCTCTTTCTGATCTGTTGGTTCAAGTTTTGAGAAGCCAGGAGACGGTTCCTCAGACAGATTGCCAACTCTCTAAAAATAGCTGATGGGTGGGCTCTGAGTTGATGCAGCTGAGCCCCAGTTCGCTGCTACAGTGATCAAGTCTGCAAAGCCGCTTTCTGCTCAGCCTCTTGGGTGCATCAAGCTTAAAAAACGGAAGTGCTTATATAATGACAGGTATCCAATAGCAACAAGTTGGTACCATGATCTACAAATACCTTCTAGAGCATTTGGTGATAGAAGCAGTACGAGCAAGGAGTGGGAAGAACCCAACACTAACAAGAAACTCTTAATTACCAGTTATTTATCTATATGTATCCATAACAAAGATGGTGATACGGTGACCTAAAGGCATGGGTCGCTATAAACTGGGGTTGGTTTTACTGTCCTTAAGACAGTAAAGACAAAGACAGATTCAACCCAACACTTGCCCCTTATACATGGTCCCTTCTTTCTCCTCATTGATGAATTGCTAGATTATCTAACTTGATTTTCCTTGGAATTACCTCGAAAACTCATGATCAAATTTTAATAGAACTCAGCCTCTTCTTAACCTCTAAAATCCGACCTTATGTCACAAGAATTCCAGTATTCAAGATCTTAGTCCATCAGGGTAGTTACTGTGAAAAAATCGACAAAATGTGGTAGACATAAGCAAAAGCAGATTTCACACTCATGTAAATTTAGATGAATGTAATTTGAACTCTGCTTTCGGATTCATTATCTTACTATTATAAATCATAAAATTCTGATGAATATACAGATGACTTATGATTTACTTACACATAAATAAACAACTAAAAATGACATGGTAGCACTGTACGTGGTTGCATGGTTTTCTCTTTGTCTTGTGTGATCGTCCCAAAAGATGTGGTGAAACTCTTCATGTATCTCTGAACTCACCCTCCTAATGGCCATCAGGATTCTTCCATAAGAATATAGCATGAGCAGAAGGGGCAGCAGCAGACAGAAGATGAAGAGGCACAACACATACAAGATGCTGGAGGGTGAGCGGAGGTGCCACTGGACGGAGCAAGTGGTACCAGGACCCTCTGGTCCATAGCTGCTCCAACCGAGGAGGGGAGGCAATGTCCAAAAGAGAGAGTAGAACCAAGAGCCTCCAACAAACAGCCAGGCCTTTCTGAAGTCTGAGACATCAACCTGAGAGGAATGGAGAACGGTGGTGTAGCGCTCATACGATAGAAGAGACAAGGACACAAGGGACACAATCCCTGTTGAAGCAGGAGTGGAGAAATGAAAAGAGTACTTTAGATTTAATCATCAGAGGCCACTTGCCCTTGCAGCACCTCAGGTTGGTTAAAGCTTTTACGATCCCTTCATAAAGCCACATTTTGCATGTTGTAGAGTCTATAATGATGGTACTGTCCATAATTGTGGAGAAAAGTAGGTTATTGGCTTTATGTAAAGCAGCTGTTTAAAAGATTATATATTTTATATTATACTTAAAAAGGAGAAAGTAAATGCAACCCCAGCAGCAAAGGGGGAAAAGTATTTCTTAAGAGACAGGTGTTCCTGTATTTTCCTATAGAGTTCTTTAACTTAATTAAAGTCAAGCTAATTAACAAAGGTCTGTTTCCCCCTGTAATTATTAATTTCGTTTGAAAGCCTTAAAACTCAGAGGTTTGAAGTGCTTCTAATTTAAGTTTATTACATTTTTATGTTTCTAGAATAAATGACATCATTTACTCTGCTCTCCCACTACCTCTGAAGAGAGACACCGCGGTCATAATTATTTGAGTTTAAAGGGTAAACAGGGAAAAATACTACTCCTCATGCAGTTACTCACCAAAGAGGGAATTGGCAAATCCATACCACTTACAGCCGTACTCTCCAATTAGCCACCTCCCGTGCAAGCTGGCAGCAAAACTGAACGGTGTCCCGAAAACGCACACGAGAATGTCACTTAGGCTGATGTTCAACAGGATGAGATTGATGGGCGTCCAGAGGGACCGAAACTTTGCGAAAATGAGCAGAATGAGAAAGTTGCTGAGGATTCCTGCCACTAAAATAAAGCCGAGGCATACTGCCACCACCGTATGGCCGGTCCGGCTCAGCCCACCGGGGCTGTGGGGCACCGTGGAGCCCCAAAGCGCTTTGTCTGTATTGATGCTGGAGCTGGAGAGGGAGCTGTCAGTGGTACTGAAATTCCAGTCGTGTACGTACACGACCATGGCAGTGACACCGGAGATAAAGGCTGACGAACAGCTGGACACACACAAGATAACAAAGTCCCGGTGGACCGCAGCTTTACGCGCAGTGGGAGCTGGTGTAACACAAGTATGAGAGTGTGAAGAGACCTAAGACGTGCAATTCTTGCACTCCAATATATGCAACTACCCCCATTCTCTCCCTCTGCCACACAGACTGTTTGTTGTTGTTGTTTTTTCTTTCTTTCTAAGAGTCTCCCTAGTTTAATATAATCAGCCCTTTTAGTTAACATTGCCTGTTTAAATGGAATAAATCACCCAAAGTTACAGCAATCACAATGCCTTTTAGGACGCTGTGCTGAGCTTGTGAAACGTGATTCAGACTCGCGTAATTACCCGTATTTCCATTGGGTTTGATCGTTTTTCATGGCGGATATAAATGATTGTCCAAAATAACGTTCTAATTTTACGGACAGCTTGGAATAAATTGCTTTGGCGTTCCGCTCCAGGAAACCAGACTTTGTTGCACGATTTTGCTAAGCTGTGCGTTTCGTATTCATTGTTGCTTCCTGTGCCAGACTTCTGCAAACTGTAGGGCACACAGAAAGTCGCCACAAAGAAAGTTTCACACTTGTTCAGCATTTTCTTTTTGCACCTTCCTTTACCAATTCAATAATACCTTCTGACCATCCTAGCGCACCCCATTTAAATTCCATTGATCGATGTCAAATGCTCTCACCGACTCTCTGTAATCCCGTGCCTCACAGTATCCTTTGAATTTACTATAGACCTGAAACTATATATTTTTGTTTTAAAAGTGTGCTTTTAAAGGTCTTTTGTTGCAATCTGTTGCTAATGGTTTTAATGCTTTCAAAAAGCATCACATGACTAAAAACATATATTTCTGTAAAGTGTAGAAATAAATTTATATTTCAATTGATAAACAAATGTGTTAATGATGTTTACAAAGCAAATTATATTTACATTTCATTCATATTTAATGTTTACTTATTTAATGTTTGTACTTTTACTTGTGCACTTTCAAAACAGTAATAATTGTGTATTGAATCTACCAAGTTGATTTTCCCTCATTTCCCTCAGGCTAGGATTTCCTGGCTTCTGATTGGTTAGGGAAGTCACATGGGGTCCGAACAAGGAACTTGTGTTGCGTTAAAGTGTGCCAAGAGTAAGTAAGAGATCTGAGAGTTATCTGTCTCCATCTTGCTGTTTTTAACAGTTCAGAGAGATTCAAGAGCACATAACGAACCTTCGTGTATAATTTCCATAGAGGAAATAATTGGTAACGAGCAAAAGCCGGTACCTAAGTACAGAAATAAACTTAAAACAATACAAAACATCTGGTATGTCATTCTATCTATATATGTTCTGGGGTCTGAAATGTGCAAAAAACACCAGTATATGGTTTTTAAAGAAAACCTCCTTTGCTTCTTTCTAGCTACACATATTATTAGGTTACACAAAACATGCTCTGCTGGATTCACAGTTCAAAATCATCCTTATTTATGCAATACTTGGCCTTCGTGCAGGTCCGTTTCTCTGGTCCCTCTTTCTTATGAGTCGTTTGTTCCTTGTAAGGTTATTTTAATTATACCCTGTATAAATTTAAACAACAGAAATGATCCAATGATCCTGTAGAGACAGCCACATTTCCATTCAAGGTCTCGAAAAACCCCAGTTTCAAAATACACGAAAAGGGTTGTTTTGTTGTGTTAACAGTGATTTAGTCATCATTAAACTCTGTTAAGAATTTGAAAATTGATGATTAATCTCGGAAGTCATGACACACCACTCTCCCCTACATAAGTTGCCTTTATAAGATAAAAGTATCGGTATTATTATTAGTATCGACAATACTGGGGATGTATTTACCCGGTGTTGGATCGATACCAAAATGTGCAATAATGCACTGGACTAGTTTGAACAGTGGGTTTACAGGTAGAAGTGTATATTCTCTGATCATCCTGAATATAAACATGCATTTTAAAATCACGCTGTGTTTTTTAATAAACAGACAAAACAGGCCCACATTAAAATAATGCGTTAAATACAATGATTAACATTTTTATCTGATGCTGCCTGGTGTGTGTGTGTGACAGTGTGCATGTTTACATGCTGAGAAGAGAGCTGCAAGTGTTAAAAAAAAACAGCACACCTAAGTGAAATCACAACTGACATCTGACTGATACATATCATTCAGCCGCCATCACGCAGGGTAAATCTCAAATGCTGCAGGTCACTGGTTCCATTAGCTCACATGCAGCAACCGTAAACTCCTTATGCCCCTCTTCTCTGCAACTCTGCAATCAGCATCACGGGCTTGTCGAAAGCTCAGTGGGCAGTAATCACTTCAGAGCCAATTGCCTTACCAACACCGGCCCCCAAACATAGGCCTTAGATTGGCCTGATTATGCTCGACACAAGAGAAAAAGGAGGATTACGGTTTCAAGCCTGCATGGTTTCTGAATCCACGCCGACCCCCTGGTGAGGCACAAATTGTCTGCTCTTCCCCCTTCACACCTGCTGCCAATCTTCTTTCTGCAGTGTTTTTAAAGATACCAGAAAGATCCTTAAATTGTTAACAAGAAGCCCTTCCAATCTGAACCTCTATAGTTCTTTTCACACCTGCTTCTTGTTTTTAAGAGACTGTCAGTCTTAAAAGAAAGTGAGCATTTAAGAATTCTCTTTGCACACTTCACTGTAATTGACTTGAAACACTGCAGAATTTTGTCAGTGTTGGAGACCAATATTTTTAATTTTCACATGAACTATATGTTCTTTACATACCCCATACTGCAATGTGAGCAAACAACATCTTTACAGTAGAACATTTTTCCCATCTGTTTTATATTGCAAAACAAATATAAATCTAAAGCTTATAAAACCTTAACACTATATAGTTCTTTATAACTGTCAGTAATCTAACCTGCTTCAAGTTACCAAATATCAACGCCCTCATTATTCTTAAATGTTATATATTACCCACTATATTTAAGGTAACTCCATATGAATATATCACATCTCAAATGTGTGTTGTATCTCTCAATGCACAGCCAATTAACAGGTCTGGAAGCTGTTTTATAGAGAGACAAGTACATTTAGAGTTAACTGCACCTTGTGGTAGCTTAGATAGGATTTATCCAAACATTTTTAATTTTATGCAGTCAAAAATCAATTTCATTTGCATATTGAAATTTAGAAAAAAAACTGTATAGTGAACACATCGAAATCAACTGACAGAAGCTTAGCATTATAATGGTGTTGCAACAGTGTGAAAATAAAAAAGTCGTCATTATGCAATACTTTATACTTACTATGTGGTTAACAAACTTTGCCTGGAGCTGAAAGTAGTATGCGTGGAAGTTGTGATACCGGCTGGTTCTGCTCACACAGTATTCTTTGCTTCCACCCAATGTGATTCTATCAATTTCCATAAGCAGGCAGGTTTGCTCGCCTACAGACCTCCGTAAGGCTGCTTTTACAGCTCAACCGCCGTAAACAAGTTTATTATGTGCTTATTTTCTAGTGATAGCTGCAACATGTTCCTGCTCTATGAATGTTAAATGTCACATAAAGGTGTTGGCCAGTAGCTTTAATTATAAGATGTTAGACCTCTGAGTACAGACACCTGAAAGTTACCTCATCCTCCAATACCTGCACCTGGTTGTGCCTGTTGGAACAGTGCCCAGAAGGCCCATTTGGTAACCCATTCATGCTGTATTGAAGTAGCAGATGGAAAGAAACTAATAATAACTCAGCATCATCATTAGACCAGCCTCATAATGTGGAGACAGCTCGTCCTCCATCTGTGACCATGAAAAATGTCAACAGTTAAATATACTGTCATCTCTATTAGAAAAACCAGTTGGTGAGCTGACACTAAACATATTCCACTCAGAGTTATCATGTGCTGCATATAAATAACAGTGTTTTCAAAGAAACATAGTTAGTCTATATGGAAACGGATGTAAAACGGCAGCAGTAATGCTGAACTTATCGCTGAAAATGGTCAAAAGTTAAATTAAAGCTCTCAGAAAATGACACATGACGCATATAAAATTTCTTTTTTTAAAGTCAAAATTCGCACAATAGGATGACAAAATAAGTAAGAAACTAAAACATCCTCATCCATCCTACTGCAGTGCACCGTGACAAAAAGATGTCATTATTATAAATGTGATGATTCCTGCCATACTACCCCGCTGTGAAGATTAATGTGAAACTCATCTCTTTTTGACACTTTCTGCTGATACATGATTTCAAGAACACAGTGAATTGTGAAAGGCAGTCTGATTTAGCTCTAATTCGGCGCTTATTCTGCAGACTTCACACAGAAGTGGATCTCTCTTCAGTAATAAAATAGCAGCAGATTTACGTTTGTATTGAATGTGGGTTTAACTTTGGATGACAATTATTCATGTCATTGTTATTAATAATGAAATCTCTGTGGTATCCATAATGACTTTTCACTGTATGTAAGGCAGTATGAAATGAAACCTTTGTTGTCTCACTTATTTATTTATTAAGAAGCACAATGACTGTAAATGGTTTCTGACCTTCTTTCATTCCTTCTGGTTTTGTCAGACCATGCCACTCCGACCTGCAGGCCTTTTCTGTTCAAATAAGTTTCCCTGCTCTCCACTCACAGTTATTTTTTCATACCTGAGGTGTTCTTGCACTAAACTGATAAATAAAAGGAATTTGTGTAAAAATTTATTATTTCTAAAACATTAAAGAAAAATCTAAGAAAATCAAAAATCTTGGCCTGCATACCTGGATCTATATATAGATATGTATACTATACTTTGAATTTTAGGCAGACAGGCTACTGGGGACCCTAAAGAAACATGCACCTTCCTCGAGGAACATACACATAGCACCCCACTGGCGATATATTTTTGCCTTTGGCCTCATTTTACATTTCCATCCATCAGTAAATGCTAAAAAAAATGGTCTTGCCATGACCTGCTCTAAATGTTTTTATTTTTTCTGTTAGTAATTTATTTGCCTGGTTTTTCTGAGTAAAAGTCTTTACATTTATTTATTGAGCCATGCTTTTGGTTTCATTTTTGATATTCGTGGCACTTCTCGTGGGGTTAGCACTGTTGCCTCACAGCAAGAAGGTCCTGAGTTCAATTCCACCATCAGGCCGGGGTCTTTTCTGTGGAGTTTGCATGTGACCCTGTGTTTGTGTGGGTTATCTCTGGGTACTCTGGCTTCCTCCCACAGTCCAAAGACATGCAGTTAGTGGGGACAGGTTAACTGGAAGCTGTAAATTGCCCATAGGTGTGAGTGTGAATGGTTGTCTGTGTCTATGTGTTAGCCCTGCGACAGACTGGTGGCCTGTGCAGGGTGCACCCTGCCTCTCGCACCGAGACAGCTGGGATAGGCTCCAGTCCCCCCACAGCCCTGATAAGGATAAAGGGGATGGATGGATAATACTTTTTGTGATATGAACTAATGTTTAAGTAAATCAGAAGCAGCAGTTGAAGAAATATTCACATCATTTATTAAAGTACAAGTAGCTGTAGTAGTTGTAATTAAAATTCATACAACTTATATTTAAGTAAAACAACACAAATATAATAACAAATATTCTTTAAAGAATCAAAGTTTAAGTTCATTATTTGGGTAAATGCTCTTGCAAAAGCCATAAAACATGCCAAAAGGTGTCAGCATTGTTCATTTTACACGATTATCTGTTGCACGATGGTTATTTTTCCAAACCAGAATGAAAATATTATGTCTGTTTAACATTGGATGATATCTGAGAGTTTTATTTGTCTACTGTGTAAATCTGATTTCTTGTTACACCATCAGACACCTTACCTTGACAGTATTACAGAAAATATGTAATTATTACAGTACCATTATCCTTCATTCGTCTGTTCCTATGTACATAAAATATTTTCACTTCAACTAAAGGTCCAATCCAAACAAACTTTAATTGATTAGTTAGAAGTTATGTCAAAATCTTACATTTACAACATGTTCATTCTTAATACTGGCCTATTTACTGAAGTATGCCCGCAAAAAAATGAAAGAGAAAGCCTTCATTCAACTCCACCACAAACAGAGCAGCAGCACATACAGTGCTCTGGAATGACGGACTTGAAGAACCAGTTTGTCAGAGACTGTTCTTTTTTAGAAAGATTATTCCAGTTACTACATGCTAAGGCACTGAGGTCATTTCGCACAGCTTTTTCCTCTCAGTTCGTTCTCAGATGATCCTTGCAGGCCCGTCGAACAAGTACAAACGGCTACAGAAAGACAGGTGGCTTTACAGAGCCACAGGTTCACAGAGTAGATGAAGCTGTTTTCCCTTCAGTACCAGTGCAAGTCCTTCTTTTCCAGATGCCGTCCTGAAAAAAGGAGGACAAATGCTTAGTTCTAAAGGATGTGCATGTTCAGTAAAATGTTGCTGCAATATATAATGTGATAAATTTATATGTGTTTTATTTTTAACAGAGAAGCAATTTTTATAATAAAGTGCACAAAACTCTTAAGTGCTACAAGTAAGGAAGCTATAATATTAAGTGTCAGCTTTTTGGGGTTTAAAAAACTCCAAAAACAATTAGACTACTGTAGTATAATAACCTCTATAATAATCTCTGGCACATCTGCAGACCTCCACAGTAGTCACCTTCTTAATAAATAATTCATATTAAATGTGGATCAGGTGTTCTGTTATGGGAATATAAATCATGCTTCCTTTCCTGTGAATTCAACTGTATCAGAGATAATTTAAGAATACTAATGATACTGATTTAATGTGTTAACTTCATTTTTCTTGTTTTGTTTTGGCTGTCGCTTTTGTCTCGGTTATAAAATAGCCCAAATGCCATTCAAGCATGTAAGCTTTACATTTTAAGTTGAGGGACTGGGGGAAACTAGTGAAATGAAGTATTTTTACTTATATTCCTGAATACATGCCAAAATCCAAAATACTGGAACCTGTTAAAAAATAATGGAACAGTGCAATTTGGAATAGATCATGAAAATAATGCAAAGATGCCACAAAACTGCACTGATCAGAAAGAGACTTGAAATCTCCTTCTGAACCACAGAAGACAGTTTACAGCCATTATAATCATCTTAAATAAGTGAAAATCTTAAATCCTCTAATCAGAAAACATTAAGTATGTCAATTCAAAATATTTAATTGCTCCTGTGAGTGCAGTAGTTTTTAAGTTTTTAATTGGCTACTCTAACTAATTATTATTGCAACCTGTCTTTCTCTGAATTTACTTTTATACTTCCTTATATTTTTTTTGAACCTCTTAGGGATTTTTTTTAACCTTATTCTAAGACAATTCTCTATCCAAGAAGGATTTCTATCATTTTCCTGTGTGGAAGCTTTTGTAAACATTCTGGTTTACAGCTGCAGAATTACCAGGTTCAAAGCCTATAGCAGGGTCCACAGACTCTCTAAACCCTTGAGGTATTGTCCAGCTGGGAAGGAGCTCGGGCTTGGAACTGGAGGCAACTGGTCCCATTTCACCCCGGTCGCTGTGCAGTAGATTGAGGAGGGATGAGGCATACTGCTGACCAGTGAGACTTAACCCATCTGGGGACAGGGAGTATGCAATTGACGACAACCCTGGGCCCTCTCCTGCCCTGGTAGGGAATGTAGACCAGGAGCTAGAAGTATTGTTTGGAGTGGTGATGGTCAGCAGACGTGATGCAGGGGAGACCTGTGACATTGAGTAGGAGTCAATAGCCATGCCCTGACAAGCGCTTGCTGTGTCCTCTGTAGGGACAAAGACAGACAGTCAAAGAATGAAGATAAAACTGGCTGACTCTGCTGTTAGAGTGAGGCCATGTAGTGTTAAGTTTATACTCTCACCCAGTTTAATAGTTTTAGAGTGTTTCTTTGTCTTTATTGCTGATTCCTTAGCACTGTAATCTTTCTTGAGAGCACGGTTGAAGTGAGCATCCACCATGCTGTTAATGTCCCCCTGGAAGTATGTCAGGATGACGAAGTTGGAGTGCTGCTCCACGCTAACAGCGATCGGACTGTCTGTTCTGCTCTCCATGGGTCAGCTGTGACTGGTGAACAGATAATACATCATTTTGATTTATTTACAAACAAAAGGAACTCAAAACCTTATGAGTGTTTAGAGAATGAAAAAGCTTATATATGTTAGTATCATTGTAAAGCTTAAAAACCTATTTTCACTTTATTTGTTTTTTTACATTCACGTACATTATATACTTAACACTGACAGATATATTACATCCTATCTGCTCATTTTTTTTAAACCACAAGCACGCTTATTTAATATTAAGATCACAGAAATAAAAAGGCCAAAAGGTCCTCCTGCTGCCCTATGACTCACACCACGCACTGCTGTGATGATGATTAACATGTAAAAACATTCAACACAAATAGCAAGATTGTAAAGGACACCTAAATGTAAAATTTAAGGTTCATAAATGATAACAAGTAATGCACCAAAACAAAATCAATGCACTGAATGACAATAATAATAATAAAAATTAAAACAAAAACACATATCACTTGATATGATACTTGGTAGTAAGAAATATATAAACTATGCATGTGCAATCAAAAATGTCAAAATCAGGGGGCTGAAATACTTAATAATGCATATGGGTTGTTAAAAAAAGTCAGTCAGTGTAGCTTAAAAGTATCAAAGATTGAGATAAACCTACAGTATAAAAACCTCATTCAACCTGTTGTGAGAGCAGGAAGAATAACTTCCATGTAAGAAGACTGAACTAATAAAAACGTTTCACTTATATTTTTAGTAACTTGTTTCTCTTACCTGACCTGATGATGACCAAAGGTGAGCAAGGACTGCAACCTAGCATTGACTGGTTGATCAAAGTAATGATGAGCAGCAATTGGAAAAAAAAATGTCGTTTGGCTTTTGTTTAAACACCAGAGTTGTCTATTTGATTCCAAGAACCAACGCCAGGCGTTTGGTCTTTTTCTTTTCTGCTTAAGACAAAACGTTCCCCTCGCAGAGCCTCTAAAGTTACTGGATGTGGTAGCCTGGGTGGGCGTGTGAGCACTCATGAACACACAGAGCTATGAACAGAATGCTATCGAGCAGGTTTCCTCAGAACCTGAACGACAAGCTATTAAAACATTATGCAGTCCAAGTTTCAAAAAGGGTTTTGAGTTTAACTGTAGCTTGTAAGTGACCTGAGCTTTAGGTTCCCCAGTTAACACATCAGGCAGCAGAAAAATCGAACTTTAATTCATTTTTCAAATAATACCAGTGAATTTCATAGATCACTTAGATGAAGCTCTCTGCCCTCTAAAAATAAAAGCAAAATCTGTGTAAGTTTAGTTCGTGCTGCCATTTCGACTGTCAGAGAAACACAAGACTATCATCAGAACGCAATGTTTAAACTATGTACACAATCTGTGTACAAGCTAAACTAAATCATAGCCATTTCTATTTATTTAAACAATGAGACGTGCTCAGTTTTATTTCATTTTAGTTACAGAATAAAATTACGTCATAGGTTAAATCTCGTCTTGCATGCACACACAAAACATTGTTGCTCAAAGGTGCACCGAGTGAACGATCCGAGAGCTAAACTGTCATTATACAGTGGTAAGCCGTGACAAATCCTGTATAGGATATCAGAAAATATACTCTAAGAAGTCAGCTAAATCCCTATTACATTACAATCCTATTAAAATTAACCTTAAAAACGACTTTTACGCTCCAATATTTGCATGACATTTAAATGGATAATAATCTAGTGCGCAGAACATTACATTTTGCTTTGTTACAAAGAAAGATTTCTTAAACAGCGCTACAATGCATGGATGTGAAAATGAATCATTTTAACCTTTAAAATGAATTGTACGGCTTTTACACGTTTACTGATTTCTAATGGATTTTTACTTTCTGCATCAAAGCAGTGCTTAATTTTCATGACCGAGTTTAAGTGATGGCTTTGGATCCATTTTCTCCGTGAAGCTGAGACATATTTCAGCTTTCCCTGCACATTAGTTGCACTGGGGAGATGGTCTTTGAACTTTTTGCTTTCTGTTTGTAATTCAACAACGGAAAACTTTGAAGAATTCATCCAGATGTCCACTCATGCCCCCTGGTGTTGGTTTACTGCTGCTGCTGCTGAGGAGCCAGAAACCTACTGAGAGCTGCCAGAAGTGACCGAATCCGAGTTAACGAGATTCTTCTTTTTGCATCGGTCACCGACTGTCACAGAGCGGCTCCAGTCTGAACACGGAAGGCAAGAAATACAAAAAACTGCATCTTGAAAATGCTTCCTATCAACCATGTGGCTATTATGCTGCAGTATTGTTATATGTCAAAATGAACTGCTACCTGAGTATTCACGGAGTCTAAAACGTCCACAGCACAGGTGGATTCTCCACTGTTTCCTCACATTTTCCTTCATCAGGCAGTGGAACAAAAACACAAAGAAGCCTTGATGAAAAAAACAAAACAAAAGAAGAATAACAGTGACGTTCAATTGCACTCAGTTTGACATTAAAAATGATATAAATTTGTGTTTTAGTTCATCTTTTTCTCTTAGCCTTGACAACACTCTTAAGGATTTCTTAACACTTGTACTAATTCTAAAAAGAAAAATCTTTGTGAGATGAGAAAACCCTAACAAAATTATAAAATCACTGGAATTTAGGAAAAATGTTTACAGAAGCAATGGAAATTAGTTACACTTGTGCAGCTAGTATCAAGTTAATAGCAACTACAACTCAGTCTTACCCTGCAAACTGTTGAGGAAAACGAACAGGTACACCAGGACTACTCTGGCAGGCCCAAATGAAAAAAAGCCAATTGACCACGTGAGGCCTAACAGAACCGTGAGACTGGCAACCGCCTTCAAGTCCAGCACAGAGCCGTGGCTGTTTGCGGCAAGCTTATTTGCCCCAATCCGTTTAATTTGGATCAGAACCATGATGAAGACAGACATGTTGCACAACAAGGTCAGACCAATAAATGCCACCACTGTCACAAAGAAGACAATGTCATTCTGTATCCAACAGCTGTAGGAAGAGAGGGAGAATTAGATAAATCAAAATGCAATTTAAACAGTGAGCTATTGCAATCCCATCAATGCCATTAATTTAGCCAAGCTTCTACTGTGAGACGACTAGTTCATCAACTCAAACGCACATAGTAAATTGGACACAGCAGCGTCATTATTTTTATATTTTGCATTCATCCATACAAACTAACCAGTGCAAATTAGCACTCTCTTGATTTGTTTATTAGACTAATTACATTTCTAATCCAGTATTCATATCAGTAATATTGCGGAACTGCAGTATTTACAATGCTTCAGTGGAATCAAGGACCATTTCAATTTCTTCATCAGCAAGACTGCCGTAGGCATCTTTGTCTATGACCAGCACCAGGCTCACTATTACTGCAGGAATACCTGTGAGAAAACAATTCAACTTTATTCTGTTTGTCCATCCCAATTATTTTAATATGTCCTCTACAATTCCAACAACTGTAACTCCTTTCACAATAAACACATTTTATTATTTTGATCTAATTTAAGATTAGAATCACGATCCATTAATGTACCCAATGTGTCAGTTAAAACCACCTGGCAGAGCAATTTTGTTTCTACAGAAAGGGGCACATAGAAATGTTTCCTTACCCCATCCTATAATACAGAACTTGAGGATATAAGAGGGGATATATGTGTTGAAGACTTTGACCAATGCGAGATACATGTGCACAGCTTCCAGGCCCATCCACGTGAAGGAGGCCAACATGAAATAGTGGAGCGTTGCAGCAGTAGCAATACAAAGAGCATAATTGGAGAAAGATGAGAGCCAAGTGTTTAGAAGGAAGAGCATGCTCAGCCCCTGTAGTGCAGATGACAGGTTGATGAGTATCTTAGATGGGTAATCTTGTCGCAGCTTCCTGTGGTAAATAAATGGATAATGAGACCACAGTGCAGACTGATGCTTTAAAAGTCACTCCAAAATTATTACTGTGTACTACAGATTTTCTTATCTACATGATTTCAGTATATACAGACATTTCCATACACTCATTATGAGCACGGCTGTTATGTTAATTTGGGTAACTTCTGGGCTTTTAATGATTTCTTTGGAATGACTGTACACCACAAGTTTAAGAACTACCAGCCAATCATGATCAATAACAAGAAGCTGATGTGTCTTGAATTCGACATTGTAGAACCTTCAGAATCACTCACATTGGTGTTGTTTTGTAAAGTCATCAAAGATGTACGCTGTACAATCATTTCACCCTGGAAAAAAAAAGCACTTCAAAGAAATAATTAGACCATGAAATCTGTGCCCACGATCAGTGTATGGAAACTTCTGACCACAAATGTAGGTGGCCATAGACTTTTCATATGCTCAAATCTATTGCAATGCAAAGTCAGTAGTTGTAGCATCCGTATCAGTGACTTACTCAAAAATAAGGTAGGTGAGTAGAGTGAGGCCCAGAAAGATGGAGGATATACCACATCCAATATATGATACCACTGTCAGAATCTGTTCATTAACCTTACTGAAAGGAGTTCTTTCGACATTCTGAAACACAAAAAGTACAAAACCTAAACGCATCAAGAAGACACAGGCACGGAGAGCAGGGCTTTACCTCTCACAGCTATTGGAAAACTAATAATATGACAACAACTTTATTTTTACACATGGTGACTTTAATACCACTATCTCACATTGCTGGCAGAAAAATACCCATGCAGCCAGCACTGACCAGATTGCACACAGTATGTTGGCGCCTGTAGGAGTTTGTTTTCTAGTTAAATCTATAAAACAAAAAACAGACCAATGACTCACCAGGAGCACAGCAAAATGTGTGAGGTGATCACAGAGACAACTGGTCTGATATGGAGAAATACTCTCGGTTTCACAGCCGCTGCTGTTCCAACCACCCCGCCCACCTGACACACACACACACACCAGCAAAGATTCACCCACACATGCACACAAACACAAATCTTCTTATCAACAGATGCACAGCTTCAAAAGTTTTGAAAGCTTTATTAAATTTAGGGGTTTGGAGTTACAGTCAATCAACTAAATCCAATAATAAAGAATTTTTGACTCACCATTCTTGTAAAAATCCCAAAACATGCATTGTACTTTGTCCCGTGGCTGTAAATATCGAGAAGTGGAATGATGTTAGAGTCTCATTCACTTTCATATCACTCACAAACTGAACAGCACTTGTTTGTCACCTTTGTAGGAATTTGATGACTGAAGGTCACCACTACTCGATCTTCCAGGTTCATGATTTTGCTGTCATTGATGCTGGCAGATACTACATATGAGTTCAACGTCCAGTTGCTCTGCGCATTGTTTATGTCCAGGTCCTATTTAAAATAAAATGGCCAGCACATCAACAACCAGATTAATGAATCGTAGTAAGCAACAATAGAGGGGCCATGGTTTTGTAAAGGCCATTGAAGATGTACTAAATTCTTAATTTAATTTGTAAATATAGAAATATGTAGAGTTCTGCCACTGAGATCATGTGCTTTCAACTGGTTTACTCTAACAATATGTGTATGAACTCAACTGGTTTCACAACTTAACACCTTCCTGCTGTCCAGTAAAAGGAACTGCTGTTATTTTGATTCCAGTTCCAACCAGATCATGCCAGTTTTACCCAGGATGACAGAGCCATGCAGGTCCACCATGCACCAGTAAAACTGCATCCGATTGCACTTCCCACTTGTGTGTGTGTGGGAGGGGGGG